GCCGAGCAGGGAGCCCGATGCGGGACTCGATCCCGGGACTCCAGGATCATGACCTGAGCCGAAGGCAGTCGCCCAACCAACTGAGCCACCCAGGCGCCCAATACTCTCCTAATTTTTCTCTATCTCTGGTTGTGTCTGTTCCTTCACCCCTCCAATCTCTAAACATTGGGGTGTTCCAAGGGTCAGAACCTAGACCTATCCTCTTTTCTTAACTATAGCTTCCTTCACCTATATGATGAATCCCAAATTTACAGCTCTAGCCTTAAACTGCAGAATTAAACATCTAACCCCCTCTCTGACCTCTTCATTTGAATGTCTAATAATTATATCAAACAACATATCCAAATGGAACTTTGGCTATTCTCTCCCAAACCTGTTTCTTCTGCAATGATTCCTATCTAGATTAATAGCAATTCCATTCTTCTAGCTTCTCAAGTCCTAAACTCTGAAGTGATCCTTGATAACTCTCCCTTACATCCCATATCTGATTCCACGCTATATTTACAATATATCCAGAACTTGAAGACTTTTACCATGTCTTTTGCTACCCCTCTGTCCAAGTCACCATCATTGCTTCCTGGATTATTTCAAAGGACTTCACAATTAGCTTCCAGCTTTTACACTGATCCCTTTATAATTTGTTTTCAACACAGGAGTAAAAACGGTCAAGCTAGGAAAAGTCAGATCATGATACTCCTGTATTTAAAACCCTGCAATAGCTTTTTATCTGTCAGAATAAAAGCCCAAATCATATAAGAACCTCATTTTCCATTACTATTCCCCTCCCTCTCCTTAGCTTGCTCCAGTTAGAGGGGCTATACCCACATTAGCCTCCTCGAGGAACAAAAAATGTCAGGCCTACTCCTGCTTCAGGGCTTCTGTGCTTGCTGTTTTATCTGCCTGGAATGTTCTTCAAAATGTGCACATGGCTCACTATTTCACTTCCCTTACTCAAATGTCATCTAAACATTGAGGCTTCCCTGGGCACCTAATTTTCCAGTGTTCCTTTTTTTCCAAAGTATTTATTATTACCTGACATAGTACATATTTTACTTTATTTATTTTTAAAGATTTTATTTATTTATTTGACAGAGACAGAGATAGTGAGAGCAGGAACACAAGCAGGGGGAGTGGGAGAGGGATAAACAGGCTCCCCGCCGGGCAGGGTGCCTGATGTGGGACTCGATCCCAGGGTCCTGGGATCATGACCTGAGCCGAAGGCAGACGCTTAACGACTGAGCCACCCAGGCACCCCATATTTTACTTTAACTTGTTTCTTTGCCTCTCATACTAATCTGTAAACTTCATTTACATCTTTGGGATTTTTGATTCTTTTGTTCATTGCTAAAAGTCCAGCAACTCAGAGCAATGCCTAGCACATCATAGGTGTTCGATACTTTGAAAGTAAATCCACCACTGTATTCCAGTGCCTCGTGTAGATGATAAACCTAGTAGTTCTCAGAAAACATTTATTGAAAAGAATGAATGTCAAAACGATGGTGCTTTCCTTTAAAAATATACCAAACAAGATCAAATTTAGCTTATCACTCTGTATTGTAGAATGAAACCAATCAAACCATAAACAACGTAGAAAAATGCATGGGATCCTTACCTAGGTCAGCTCTCGCTTCTTTTTTCTTCTGAGAAGCCCAACCCACTATGGAGAGTTTATCTCCTCCTGATTTCTCCTCTAAGCCTCTATTCAAGCGCCAGATTTTCAGTGTATTGTCATCAGAGCAGGTAGCAATCTAATGAGAATCAGGAAGGGAGTTAAGAAGTCTCAGTCAAAGATTTACAACAAAGTAAAAAGTAGATCTTAAGGACTCATGACTAGAGAATTATTCCATCTAATATACCAGGATGTAGAAAATGATCATATATTCATCCCTTGCTTTCAGGAATCACTCCAAATTTCCAAAGGACTCTTGTTTCTTTCTAATTCTGATGGTATGTCTTTCATTACCAGTCGTGTCTTACCTGACCTAAAGCCCTACTATAAAATCAGGTTCATTTCATTTTACTCTCAAAAACCTGGGCAAGTCATCATCTTCATCACCTTCTATATAACTATGAAATAAATAATTACAACACCTTTTTTATTTTCTCTCTTAAATGATAAACCAGTGTACGCCACCAACATTCAATTTCTACCACTTCCTTCTGAATTCTACATGTTCTGGCTTACTGCTGAAATAATGGGATCATTTCCAAGATCAGGCTTAGTCGGTGACTCTAGTAGGCTGTGACAAGTAGAATGAAACCATTCCTTTGAGATTCTTTTTCAGATAGGTAAAGGAGTAATCTGGGAAAACAACAAGTTCACTAGGCTGAAAGAAGTTAAAAATAACCTTTGCCCCTTTAAAAATATCTGACCACTCCCGATCTTGGTCCCAAGCCTTTTATGGCAGAGAAAGTCCAGCTTGAAGAGCTTGTGGCAAATGGCCACTGGTACCAGAGCTGTTCCCCAGCATTTGTTTATATAATTTCTCTATTTCAGTCACTGAAGAGACAGAAAAAAAAGAACACACGTTCTTCTTAAATCTTGGCCCCCAAGAGACTGGCAGCTTTTTCCTTTCCTTACTGGGAGGCCAAAAGAAGACACACATATTTAACTGCTCTACAAGAAATGCCTGGAATCCCCAGTTACTCTATGGTCTATTAACAAGAATTATTTCCAGAGCACCTACTGTGAGTCTGACAATTTACATATTTTATGTTGTTTAATTCTCACAATGTAAAAAGCCTTGAACTCAAATAACCTCATCTACAAAATAAGAATAAAGTTATTTGCCCAAGGTCACCACAATTAAGTGGCAGAGCTAGAACTGAAATCTAAATTTTTCCAATTTCAAAGGCTAGATTTTAAAACCATATTTTACCTTAACTCTAGGCTGGGAACAAAGTTATTAAAACAAACAAACAAACAAACAAACAAAAACTTTTAAAGTAGGGGTCATTAGATTAGTATAGGTAAACAGTCCTGTCATTACCTATGAGTTTTTTCTGTGCATATAGTTAAGGGCAATATATGATAGTTGAAAAAAGAGAACACAAATAACTGAGTAATTAAAAAACTCTCTTAGTTCTCCAAAGATACAAAACTCCATGTTAAAAGTAGGTATTTCACTGGCAGTTACATGGAATCTCAGAAGAAAAATGTCATTAGGATTTAATTATTGGTGATTAAAGCAAGGAGTTAAAAAAAAAAAGAGTCTATCATAAGGCTGACCACAGAAATGGTTATACAGATATAGAAATAAAAAGAAATCCACAGCAGTACTGGAAAGCTAGCAGGGATGCCATGAGTAGTAGACCAGACCATTAGAAGTTTCTGGAAGATAAAAAAACAGATGGGAACAAAACCTCAAAATGTCATAAATGAAAGGGGAGATATCCACAGAAGTGATATTTCTTGTAAGCCCCAAATAACCCAAAGACTAGAGGCAGTAGGGACTGGGAGAATTAGTGGAACTTGGGCCACTATTGTATGAAATCCCTATATATTCACGAAGTTTATGTTTCTAGCCTTTTTACATTTCAGGTATTTTGTTTGTTTGTCTTTAAGTATTACTGTAAAAAAAATTTTTTTAAGTGAGAAATGTCTAAAACATTTTGGAGCCACTTACATAGCGTAGCCATAGATAACCTAACACATTACGACTTCACAGTAAGCACGGTTTAGGCATGTGAAAACTAAATTGGACTGTGAAGGACAGTCAAGATGTTACATTTAATATACCACATTGATAATACGTAGAAAGTTAATAAAAACTAGTTTTCCCACCTTAGATTTTCTTTTTATCTTAGATTTTCAGATGAAATTTAATTACATTAAAAACTTAATTCTATGTTTAGGAAAGAAATTACTCTAGGGAATCAAGAAATCCATTCTTATCTTGCCATTTGCAATGATGTGGATGGAACAGAGGGTATTATGCTAAGTGAAATAAGTCAGTCAGAGAAAGACAATTATCATATGATCTGACTTATACATGGAATTTAGGAAACAAAACAGAGGATCATAGGGGAAGAGAGGAAAAAATAAAACAAGATGAAATCAGAGAGGGAGACAAACCACAAGGGACTCTTAATCACAGGAAACAAACTGAGGGTTGCTGGAGGGGAAGGGATGGGAGATGGGATAACTGGGTGATGGATATTAAGGAGGGCATGTGATGTAATGAGCACTGGGTATTATATAAGACTGATGAGTCATTGATCTCTACCTCTGAAACCAATAATATATGTTAACTGAGTTTAAATTAAAAAAAAAAATCCATTTTTATTCCTTAGTGTAAGTTTCTCTATTGGTAGAGAAAAGTAGAATATGTATGGTTAATGCTGACATAGATCCTGGATGGCCTCTAGATCTTTCAATCTCTAAGCATAAAAGTCTGTGTAACTCTCAAACTAACCTTGGGAAAATCTACAAATCTGTGATCTACTTTTTAAACCAATGACAGAGATTTATTTACAAACCTTTGTGAAGTCTGATGGACACCAGCACACAGATGTGACTTCTTGAGAGTGACCCTGGAGCACAGTAGGAGGATGCCAGGGTGTGGAGACCTATCACACCATCAAAAAAGAAAAAACAAGTCAGCAGAGCAGTATTAGGTCTTCCAGATAGAGCCTTTGAACCTCTCCATATTTGTGTCTTACAGAGCTTCAGGGTTGTTACCAAAGATCTCTCTAGGTATGCCTAGTTATAGCTCAGAAAAGAGTCCCAATGGGCAATAAAAGTATTTCTGTCATTGATCTGAGAAAACAGAATGAAAATAGCCAAAATAAGTAAAATAATATGAACTTAAATACCAGGACAGGTCTTATTTCAATTCAAGACTACCTAGCTATATATATTTTGACTAAAATTCAAGAATGACATTGTTCCTCACCTCTTAGCTGGTAACCTTTCTATAAGGATAGGGTTCAGCTGCTAGGTAGTATGAACTTCAAGTGGAGTCCTGTTTTTACATAGTCTAGACATTTTCAGATCTTCTCTAATCGGCTACTTCCAGGAACACTACATTAAATAAATGCTGAAGGCATCTCAGACATAGTACCAGTTCTCCTCTGACAAGAGGACAGTCTTTCATCCAAAAGACTCACTGATTTTTACCAAAGTCCCTAGAATTATACCCCTTCATTTTGAAGGAATATAAACTATATACTTTTACATGGCACTTCCACATGGCACTTTTTTTTTGGGAAAAAAAAAAAAATCCCCTAAAATTTCATTTTGGTAAATTTGCTTAAAGAAATCTTGAATTTTCAGTTAAGTACTGCCATATCTTAATGAATCAAGAAGGGTCATATTGTGCAGTACTATACACGTGACAAAGGATCAGATTTCCCCCCTCACTGGATGCTACTTGTGATATGCATTTGACAGTTGACTCATTCAAGAGTTGTCAATCCCTTTCAGAGGCCACGGGAATTAATCAGCACAATATGGCATATAAACTCACATAACTATTATTAGCATGTGTTCGGGAAAAAAAATTATTCTCTTTTCATTTTCCTGAGGCTATGAATCATTGCTCATCTGTATGAAGAAAGTGGAGGCGACTCTGGAAAGAGTATTTGCAGAGAATGACTAAGAAAACTTAATAGATTCCTTCAATTGTAGTGAAGAGAGTCAACACACTGATTCATAAGGTCATCCAACTCAATTATTACTACTCCTCTCTTGGGTTAAATGGCACATGTAATGATTCAAAAAGCAAAAGAAGAGAAAGAGTAGAGTCTAATTTGCCTTGCCGGGTTAATTAGAGTTTAACAGAAAAAGCTTTTTCCTGAGTATTATCTAAAAGGATCTCACTCTTTGCCTCCTACAATGGCACAGAGAACAATAACTCATTCCCTCACAAGGTAGCGTATTTTAGGAAAGACTTTCAAGATAGTCTCTAGTTATCTCAGGAGCCACAGAAATTTTCCTTCCTCCTGCATTTGGGATGGCCCCAGTCCATTAAATTTCTCTTCATGCAAGGCCCAAGCAGGCCAGGTAGGAGCAAATTAAAAAGGAGAGAAAATCCTAATGTCCTCTTGACTGACCCTCCCTGGTAGGAACACATTATTCTACTCCACTGGTTTACTCTGCTTGTGGCCTCTAGCTTGTCATTTCAAGATACTGCCTCTTCTTCAATTTTCTAGGCATTACAGTACCTAAGGGAACCTAAACATGTACACAAAGGATTAAAATAAATCTCAAGAAAACCAAACATCCGCCAATAGAATACATGCACATTTTTTGCATTTATCTATAGGATCTAAAAGAAAAAACAAAAGATCCCTTGGAAAAACTTTTTACAAACTGGTAATAAGGTAGGAATAATAATGACAATAAAAGTCAGCATTTGTTGAGGCAGGCACTTCGTATAGCATTAAAGTAGGGAGAAGGTTCCTCAAAAAGTTAAACACAGAATTAATTACTATATGACCCAGCAATTTTTTTTAAAGATCTATTCATCCATTTGAGAGAGAGAATGAGACAGCATGTGCGCACGCGAGTGGGGGTGGGGGGAAGGGGGAGATGGAGAGAGAGAATCTCAAGCAGACTCCCTACCCAGCTAGGAGCCCAATGTGGGGCTCAGTTCCACGACCTGGAGATCATGACCTGAACCGAAATCAAGAGTTGGACGCTCAACCCCGACTAGCCAACCAGGCGCCCCAGGACGCAGCAATTCTATTCTTAGGTATACACACAGCAAAACTGAAAATATATGTTCAAACAGAAACTTGTACATGAATGTTCATAGTAGCTTTATTTATAAAGCCAAAAAGTGGAATAATTCACATGTCCACCAACTAATAAATGGATAAATAAAATGTGGTCTATCCATACAATGGATATTCAGCCATAAAAAGGAATGAAGTACTGATACGTGCAACAACAAACAAATCTGGAAAACATTATGCTCAGTGAAACAAGCCAGACATAAAAAATCACATATTGTATGATTCCATTTATAGGATATGTCCAGAATAGGCAAATCCACAGACAGAACATAGGTTAGTGGTTGCCAGGGGCTGAGAGCAGAGGAGAATGAAGAGTGACTCTTCAAGGGTACAGTGTTTCTTTTTGGAGTAATGAGAATGTCTGGGAATGAGACAGTGGCGATGGCTACTCAAAATCAACTGTACATTTAAAAATGACTAAAATGATGAATTTTATATTATGTGAATTCTATCTCAATAAAAAAAAAAAAGGGTGGAGAGAAGGGCATGTTGTGGGCTGAAATGAGTACTAATGTCCATCAAGTTTGTATGAATGGTAGTTACAGGAGCTTTCACAGTTTAGGACTACCCTACATGGTATAGTATACTTGTTGACTACTTCAAAGAAGATGAATTTCCCCTAGTGAAACTCAACTTGTTTTTAAATCCTTCATTTTTATTCAAATAAGTTTTTATTGTCACTTTGTTATGATAAAACATTACCGTAATCACAGGATTTCATTTTTTAAAAACCTCCCTCTACTTTTAAGTAATTAGAGGAAACTATTAAGTCCAAGAGACATTTACACCTATGCATTCTGGAGATGGTCAAAACACAGAAAACTGTCCTTTCTTACATATTCTAGTTGTTATATAGACTTTAATTCAAGACATGTAGAATCCCCAAGTTAAAACTCTTAGAACTATGAAGGTTACCACTAGAAATAACTGGCTCTAAGCTACACATCTAATAAAACATTCTGTATCCTTAAACATGCAAAAAAGACCAGCACCTTTCCTCAAAAAAATCTCCTTACTCTGCCCAGTCAGAAACCAAATCTCATCTTTATTTCTGCCATGAGATCATCTACACTTCCTAAAGTGTCAGGCTCAATGTTTCGCCAGTCAGCGGTAGAATGACTGTGCCAAATGAGTTTATTTATAACCACTTCAATACTATTCAGTGGCTATAACAGAAATGAACCAGGGAAGGGAGGGGAGAGGAAGGGGTGGGACATAGGGTAAGAAATTTAAAAGAAAAAAATATATTAACTGTTTTTATTTTTAAGTCTTGGTCCTTAGTATCAGAGAGTCTAACTACATTACACCTCCCTTTTGCCGAGCACTGGTAAAGATTAAAAGGCCATTCTCTTCTGTCTTAAGATCTGCAACTCTTTTCTTTCACTCTGTTTTCTTGTGCCCATGGGCTTTTTAACATAGGAAAAATCCCAACACTCGAGAGAATTCTGACCTTTTGGAAACATAGCAGAGCTACAAGATAAACTAACAGCATGATACTCAGCTTGCATGGAATGGTTTTTAAACTACACCCCCACCCTTTTTTTTTTAATCATGGAAAAGAGAAACTGAGCCACCTCACTAGGCAAATTCAATTTTAGGAGCAGTAAGCTTGCCAGGATCTCAAATATCAGAGCCTGCACACTGAGTTATGTGTGGACAGGCAGGAGAACATCATGTCTGAACCACATCATTCAGCACTGACATGTGACCCAGCCTAGGAATTTAGAAAGGGTCACCCATGTATGTGATAGCCCCTGACTGGATATCTGAAAATGGGTTACTAACAACAGCCAAATTTCTTTACTGCATGTCTTTAGAGAGAGAAACTATACCTCAACCCTCATTCCCTGAAACAAACAAAAAGCCTTTGTACTAGAGAAGATAGCTAGAGAGGAACTTTCAGAATCAACAATAAGACTCCATATCCACATGCAAACACATATATGTAGAATATATAATCATATGCATAATTATGTATACATAATTTAAAAACTGATTTTAAATAATTTTTAAAAAACGATCAGTGCAGGGCACCTGGCTGGCTCAGTTGGTTAAGCGACTGCCTTCGGCTCAGGTCATGATCCTGGAGTCCCTGGATCGAGTCCCGCATAGGGCTCCCTGCTCGGCAGGGAGTCTGCTTCTCCCTCTGACCCTAACCCCTCTCATGTGCTCTCTCTCATTCTCTCTCTCAAATAAATAAATAAAATCTTT